ACCTGTATTACTATGGGCATAGATATGTCTCATAATTATCTGTGTGAAAAAAAAATAATCTGTGTGTGTAAATATGAGATTTGAAATGTAAAACACCACCCACAAATGCATTTCAAAGATTTGCAAACTCACAAATACATTTGCAAATGTAAAACGGATCTGCAAATACGCAAAATATTTTTTACAAATAAAAAAAGGATCTTGAATATCTCTTAACATACACAACCTTCGATCAGGCATTTGTGAATCATTTGGTATTCAAATGCCGCTTGGTGGATCTCACATCTCTGCTTGGTGGATTGCTTTTTACACACACGAGTTTTGAGACAACCTTTCCGCCGGTTTCGGCTTAAATCTACTCGTGTCACTCTTTCTTTTCCAGAAACCACGTGAGTGCCTGCGATGACGACCATTTTCGCATGGTTTTCAAAGTAAGAGCCATGATGGTTTTGTTTTGATGCGCCTGTTTTTTTAATGAACAGCGGAACGTTAGATAATAATAATAATAATACATTTAATTTATATAGCGCTTTTCACAACCCAAAGACGCTTTACAATATGAGGAGGATGACAAACAAGGACAGGCAAACAAGTGCAGATGCATTCTTTAGCACCATCATCATCATGTATAGTGATACAGTTACGTTTGGTGGTAGTTAATTGATTCAACTTTCTTCATTGTTATTTGTGTATTCAGTCAAGCGGGTCAAAGTTACAAAGCACTTCACATCTTAATAATCGGCCTAGTTTTACCTTACCAGTGCAGTGGTAAGGTAATCTGTAGAAAAGCAACGTATTTAGGTCAGCCTTCATAGTAAGGCTACATTAACCCTCTATGGCAGGGGTATTCAACTAAAATTCAACGAGGTCCAGTTAGAGAAAATCTCCCATTGCAAAGGTCCGGAGCTTCAAAATGTCTGACTTGCTTTATGAATTAGTGTGATATATATTGAAGTAGCCTGTAGCTTTATCAACGTCTGCATGTAATCAACAACTGACTGCCAATCAAAGAAAGAAAGTACAATTCAAAAACAACAACATTTATTGTCAATGAACATTGAATTACAGATATACAGTAAATAAACACACTGTGGATATGTTCTTGCCATATCCACTTAATGTTCCTCTCGGGTTGCATTTAAAAATAAAATAGAGAAAATAAATAAAAAAACTTTTGAAAATATGTGCATCTTAAAAGTGCTTAAGTTTAGATCAATAAAATAAAGTGTAGCAGGCAGCAGCTTGAGTTTCTCTTTGTTAACCGTTTCACATCATGACTTAACAGTTACAGACGATTATAGAACATATCAGTCTTTACACATCATAACAATTGAACAGTTTTAAAGTTTCTCTTTCTTTCCCTCTTATATTGCAGTCCCTCACTCACTTTTATTTGGTTCAGTGCGAGAATTGAGCTCGAGCTTGTCCTGCCAGGATTTTAAATCTGGGCTGAAATGGTGTCAGAGCCATTCTCATACACACATGCAGGTTCTCATTGGTTAGCCTGGAATGATATTTTGTTTTAATAATGTTGGAGAAAGCTGCCTCGCAGCTGTATGTGGAGCCAAACATGGTGAATATAGAGCTACTTTCCTCAGACCTGGGAAAGCTGTCTCAGAGATTGTTTTGAGCCAGAAAGTGACAGGATCAGTTCTTCCAAATTGCTCTTTCAGGGCCACGTCTGCTTGGAGATCAACCAGTTGCATCTGGAGAGGCCCAGCATTTGCCCACTTGAAGTGCTGTGTGACTTCCTTTGAGAACTCCCTGACATCTGTGAGCTGCCGTCCAAAGCTGAAGTTGTCAAAACGTTTGCTGAAGTTTACAATCAGCTTATCTACAAAGCCAATAAATAAGACACATTTCTCTATTCCTGAACCTGTTCCTGCACTGCTGGGAAGTGTTCACAGTCTCCCTGCAGATCTTCCTTGAGTTTCCTCTGAAAGGAGCGGACAGCTGTCATCAATTCACAAATTGAATTGTCCTTTCCCTGTAGCTTCAAATTCAGTTCATTCAGATGCGAAGTGATGTCAACCAAAAAGGCCACATTATCCATATTTTTCTCATCTTCTAAAAAGAGAGAAAACTGTGTTGCCTTCTGACTTCCCATCTCTGCCAAGAAAGCTGCTACTTCCCTTCTGATGGACCAAAAGCGCTCCAACACCCTGCCTTTGCTGAGCCATCTCACATTGTTGTGCAGCAAAAGATCATCAGCGTTTGCATCAACTTCTCTGAGGAATTCCCTGAGCATGCGATGCTGATAGGAAGAGGACGCCCTGAGAAAATTGATCATTTTCATCATTGTGTTCATCACCTCAGCATGCTCATCTGACAGGGAGGAGCACAGGACAGATTGATGGATGATGCAATGGTAAGAGATGAGCTCAGGATTATCCTCTTTCATTCTTGACACAGCTCCTTTCTCTCTCTATCATGGCAGGGGCTCATCTGTGGTTATTGACCACTTGTTTTGGCTCTATTCCTCGCTTCGTTAACATCTCCTTAATGGCGAGGTAGATGTCCTCTCCTCTTGTACTGGTCTGAAGGGGAGTTACACCTAACATGTCTTCACAGAACATTGTCTTTGTTGAAGAACCTTACATAAATTAACAGCTGAGCATTGTCAGAAACATCAGTGGACTCATCTACAGCTAAGCTTACACAGGGTGCCTTATGAAGGGCTTCATCCAGCTGGGCTAGCACATCCTGGGTTAATACTTCACTCCTCTTTGTGGCTGATGATGCTGACAAAGGTATTTGCTTAATTTGTTCACAAAGCTCTTCTTTTTGTTTTCCCTCAAGCAAGGTTTGAGCTACTGCACTCATGCACTCCTTGACAACCTCTCCATCAGTAAATGTTTTTTTGTTTTGACCCAAAATCCAAGCCACTCTGAGGGAACATTCATTAGCACGTTGTTGGGCAGTGAATGAATGGGTCAGGATCCTGGTGGAATGATCATATTGGGCTCTCAGACTGCTTATTTTTTGTGACCTCAGTTCTGAGTTGAGAGGGAATGTTTGGTCTCATATTGGCGTTTCACGTTGGCACTTTTAATGAGCGCCACGGTCTCTGAACAGATGAGACACACTGGTTTTGTGCTCCCAGTGGGCAGGATGAACATGAATGAGTCCACTCACGGTTAAAAGCTCTGTTCTCACTGTCCACTTTCCTCTTCTTAGAGAGCGCCATGTGTAAATATGTGTATCTCCCTGTCTGCCGCTAACATACCTGTTCACTCTGCTCTCCGCTTCTCTCCCTGTATCGCTGCTCTTCACTCAGTCTCCTCTCCCTGTCTGCCGCCGTCTTGTCTCACTGTATCGCTAACTCTTTTCTTGACTCACTTTCCTCTTCCTCTCACTGTATCGCTAACTCTCTCTTTGACTCATTCTTCCTCTTTCACTCACTGTACCGCTAACTCTCTTTCACTCACTTTCTCTGGTCTCTCACTGTATCGCTTACTCTTCTCTTGAGAGCTCACTTTCCTCTTCTCTCACTGTACGCTAACTCTTCTCTTCACTCACTTTCCGTCTTCTCTCACTGTATCGCTAATTATTCTCTTCACCTCCACTTTCCTCTCCGCTTCTCCTCATGCGCTCTTTGACTCATCTCTTCTTCTGTGTTCTCTCCTGTATCGCCTCACTCTTTCTTGGCTCCCTGTCGGCAGCGGTTAAAATGAATCGCCTGTTGATTATAGGTCCGGGTCCGTATAGGTCGGCGTTTGGGTCCGGATCCGTCCGCGGTCCGCCTGTTACTGAACTATGCCCTAGCATAACGATTTAGGAAGATTAGCCTCTTTACATTCATTAATCCCTGCACACTAATCTCTGCGTCTATTATCCCAGGTTAAGAGACTTAGAGGATCAGTTCCAGGGTCTGCGGACTTCCTCTTCTGCTGTGCCAGAGTTGAAATTCAAGGTAAATACTTTAAGTACATTGATTCGTAGACTCCTGTTACATGTTCGTATGGATTTCTGCGTGCATCAAAAACACATTCAGGTATCTTACTTTGTTATGCATTTTTATTTCCACTATAAACAATTGCTGCTATTATACAACTACTTTGTGTGAAATTAAAAACAGTTTTATGGAGAGATAACAAAATAAATGTTTTGAATCCTTCTATATGCATTATTGGCGCTTATCTGACTCCATACAACCTCTGATTCATTCTGCTCTGAAAAACTGAAATGTTGACTATAATTCAATGTATTAAGTTAACATATTTCACTTAATTGTATTAGGTTAGTTTGAAAGCAATAATATCATTTAAATAAAAAATATTAAGTTTGATTTCATATTATTGCTTTCAACTAATCTAATACAGTTATGTGACATGTGTTGACATAATACATTTAATTTAAGTGTTTTAGCGTGCAACCCCTGAAATTCAAACTAATAACGTACTAGTTATTAAAATACGGTTTGGTAAGTGAGCATTAACATAGTGGCCCAGTACAGCTACAGTGCTATGTAACTGGTCAATGAGCTGAGAGCCTTACATGAGTCTCTTGATCTCTTGTTGAATTATGCTGTTCTGTGTTCTCTGTGTTGCAGGTAGAAAACTTCTTCTGCATGGGCTCTCCTCTGGCGGTGTTCTTGGCTCTGCGTGGGATCCGGCCTGGAAACAGCTGTGTGCAGGACCACATTCTCCCCACATCCATCTGCAAACGCCTCTTCAACATATTCCATCCCACAGACCCCGTGGTGAGCACAATTGTGTCGCTATTCTGACTTTTATGATCAGCAGACATTTATTGATGAGTACTGGCTAACAATTGCTGGTGTTGCTATAAGATTACATACAAAAATCCATGTAAACTAAATAACAAACAGGCAGTTATATTCAGATACAATGTAGAAACCCTGCTCTAACATTTGTATGTGTTTGTTTGTTTGTTTCAGGCATATAGATTGGAGCCTCTCATCTTAAAGCACTACAGTAACATTGCACCTGTTCAAATCCACTGGTAAGACAAGTTGTTATTTATAATAGATGATGGTTATTAATGAATCCCCCTGTACATTTAAAAAAAGAAAATCTACTAAAATGTAGCCTACTGTCTTCAGTGCTTGCCTCCTTCTCTTGATGTGGTCACAACACAGGTACAACACCACCAGCCCGACCCGGTACGATCAGGTCCGGCCCACGCTGCTGAACCCCCCCAAGGAGACGGCCTCAGTGTCCGACTCAGAGAGCATCCCCAGCCCCTGCACCTCCCCCCCGCAGGTCCGACGGCACTACGGAGAGTCCATCACCAGCCTCGGCAAGGCCAGCATCATGGGTAAGGCGCTACAAAGTAACACGTTACAGTAATCAGATTACATTTGTCTGTAATTTAACGTGTTACTGTTGATAACAGCAGTAACTACATGATAGTTAGTAAGCACAAAACTATCTAATTACTTGCGTTACTTTAAAGTCTTAAACTATCTGCATAACGAGATGACAGAAAAATAAATCAAACGTCCCTTTTCTCTCGCGCTACACTCGCAAAAATATCAGAGTCTCAAGCAGAGATAAACAGGTTTGTTGCAGCGTGGAGGAAATGTATCCCGTCTCCACGGTGGAAACTAGCCAACAAATAATGTGAAATAAGCACTAATTAAGATCCATGTAAATTATGAAAAAGCCATTTTACATTGTGCCGAAGTCCACCAAATTTGGGCTTTTACTGACAATGTCTTTCTCAAGCTTTTCTCTTATTCCCTTTGCAATTCCATATCCTTGTGGAAGGCCCTGCATGCCTGGGAAGCACTCACTGTCTGCCTGATCTGTGCTGAGAGGAACAGGAGCTGCTTGCACTGCTGATATTGTAGCAAGGCAAGCAGTTGACAGTAGGCAGGGGCTCAACAGATCAATAGAAGCAATTAACTCTGGTCTCTGTTACTTTCCTTTATGCATCAGAGGAAAGCGGGACTAAAGGCACATAAACAGCTAACATTTGATATTATTCAGTAAATATGTGATTTTTCATTAATAGTAGGTATGTGTCCACTTTATTGAGCTCCTTTTTCACATAATAGACATATACAGTATGTAAGAGCATTTCGAAGTCAGAAAAAACACTTAATTCATGAGAACTATTCTGTGTTATACATTTTCTAACCTTATATTCGTTTTGTTAAAACCAAACAATATTATTTCGTTTTTATTACCAAAAATATAATTTTGACGGTGTCATTTGTCAAACCCGAGGCAATCTAAAGGACCTGCCACAGAAATCTAGTGGCGTAAAAGTATGCCAAAATTGTACATAAGTACAATACTTGAATAAATATACTTTTTTTTTAATTCTACCAATGCAAAAAGAGTACAGGTTATGACACACATGATGCAGTTTAGCTTCCCAACAGGACAGCATTCTTGAATCAGATACAATGTATATAAGTCCAGTACAAGCCATAAAAATCTGCTATCTTTTTGATAGTCTGATACCCACTGGAGTATTCGGTCAAATACTGACTGGGTCTCTATAGGAATAATCCCCCCACCAATAAATATGTCACTTGTAAACTTCCAAAACTTTTTTGTGTTGTGAAAATGGCAGTTGCTTACAAATGGCTAAATGAGACTACTCAACGTCATCAAGCATTAGCCACTGTTAGCTTAGCTGTAGTGATGAGTAGCCATGTGACAATGATTTAGCTCCTTTGTAGCCTAACAATAGCATTTTACTACTAGTGGATGCATATTTTGTTAAAAAAACATATTGGTGTTAATATGTAAAGATTATCTTGCTGAACAAAACGTGTAAGTATCAAAAACGTTTTTTTACCACAGATTTATTTTTGAATAATCACACCACAATAATACGTTCCCGGATCAAATTACAGAAATATGTCTTCACTGCGCCACTTTATTTATAACTCAATTAGTGAATGATATGCCCCTCAGGTGCTGCCAGTATTGGAAAGGGAATCGGAGGAATCCTGTTTTCCCGCTTTTCCCGTTCCAGTGGCCAGGTGGGCGGAGTGGAGGAGGAGCCATTAGATCCTGAGGGCGGAGCCTCTGAGGTTGAAACAGTGGCATCAGGAGAGGAAGGAGTAACTGTAGCAGAAACCGAGGAGAAGGACAAAGAAATCAAGGAGGAGAGGACAGAGGTGGAGCCCGTCATGTCCCAGTCCATCTCAGCGGTCATGGACAGCACCTCGTGTGAGTACAAACCTACCTGCAACTAAGTACATTTACTCAAGTATTGTACTAAAGCAAAACATTGAGGTACTTGTACTTTTACTCCACTACATTTTGTAGGCAAATGTTGTACTTTTTACTCCACAAAATGTTGTACATCTTTAGATACTAGTTACTTTAAAGATGTAGGTTCTTGATATAACATTTAAATCAACACATTATTATAGGTTATTATACTTTTAGCTACATAGTTATAGATGAAGTTATTAAAATACTCCATGTTTACCAAGTGCAACATCGCCGTGATGAACACATTTACTACAATTATTTAAAAGATTTGGTGCTCAAAAGATCAATTTTGCATAACAAGTACTTTCACTTTTGGTACTTACTTACTTAATACTTTTGTACTTTTACTTAAGTATGATTTTGAATACAGGAAGTTTACTTCTTACTGAATATTTTTCCACTTTTTGTAAGTAAATAATGTAGTACTTCTTCCAGCTTTTGCCTGCTGCTGTATATGACAGCCCAAGTCAATTAACCATAAAATGTATTCTGTTTCCTGTAGTCATTACTCAAGCTCGTTGCCATTCATTTTTTTGTATTTGCATACATAAGAAATAAAACGATATCCTCCTTGCTGACAAAAGTGCAAAAAGAAGATTAAGATAAGATGTACTTTATTGATCCCAAATTGGGAATGTTTTGCATTGCAGCAGCATAAAAAACAAAACAAGTTTTTATCAGAAGCTTCAATCGCTACAACTGAAACCATATACAAACCACACACAAAGTGACCAGAACACTGCAAGAGCATCTTTCAGTACATTTTGACAAGTGGTGTATGTCAAAGGGGGAATATAGCACTAATGAGGGGTTCAGTAAGGGGGTCGGATGTCAGTGGGGGTGCACAGTGTGTTGGTGACCCTGACTGCCTGTGGTTGAGAGCTAATTAGCGCTCTGATGGGTTTGCCACATCTGCTGCCAAGACTGCAGGAGGGAGCAGACTGTGGTAACAGTGGTGGGGGTCCATGATGATGATGGAGGCTCTGTGAACATAGTGTTGATGGTAAATCTCCAGCAGGAACAAGAGGGGGGCACCATCGATCTTGTGAGGTGTCTTTACTCTCCTGTTTAGCTGGTGCTTTCAGTAAGCAACCCATGTAGCGTAGCTATAGCTATAGGTCAGAATTCCTTCAATGGTGCCCCTTTGGGAGTTGGCGAGGACTGGCGTGGGGAGACTTGCCCTTTAAAGTCTCCTAAGGAGTTGTTGGGCCTTTTTATCAATGGCTAAACAGTTGGTGGTGGAGTTCAATTTATCAGTATGGTGTGCTGCCAGGAACTCGATATAACTGACTCTCTTCACAGCAACACAATCAATATTCACTATTCAAATTAAGCGTCAATATTATCAAAGTTTATGCTCCTGTAGAGGCAACTTTACTGAATATCATCTGTTATTTGTCTAACCCTGAACATATCAGTCATACTGTAAATTATAAATGTCAGTATTATTAAGAGTTGAGAAAAATACAGACTTACTATGGTGACAATGAGACAATGAGACAATACTGCTGAAGTCCCCCAGGTTCCAGATAACCACTAAAGAACATTTCTTTGTGAAGCTGGATACTAATCTGTCTTCTGCTCTGTTTTAGTGGAACTGGAGAGGCGCATCGACTTCGAGCTGAGGGAGGGCTTGGTGGAGAGCCGCTATTGGTCGGCAGTGACCTCACACACAGCCTATTGGTGCTCTTATGACGTGGCACTGTTCCTCCTCACCTTCATGTACAGACCACAGGAGCCTGTGGAGCCTGCAGAGGACAGCCCAGAGACCTCGTAGCATGCAAACTGACACATGGAGCCATAACGGGTGGGGTCACTTCCCTTTCTATTCACCCCTTTTGAATATAGACTGAAAGCCCAAAATTACGTCTCTACATCTTAAGTTTTCAAAATTCTAAATCAGAATTCTCAGCTTGATTTTTGTGAAATGTTACCGTATAAATAACAAATAATTTAATATATTCTAGGATTTGGAAATGTGAGAATTTGGAAGACTTATTATGTTTACATGTAATGTCATCGAACAAGTAGTTGATTTGACTGGAAAGGGGTTTGTAAAACAAGACTTAGTCTAAAGCCCTGCTTGCGGTTCAACACTACAGATTTGCCTTTTTTTTTACAGCTCTAGATTTAATTTAATATTGGCTGTAAGATGAAAACTTTATAACATTTTATTTGTATTTACATTTGCCATACATCATCCAACAGCAATTTAATTCGCTTTTTTTTTAGTGGCATTACTTGACTTCCATATAAGCTAGCAATGCCATCTAAACTGACAGAACCTCAATGTGACCTTTGCTACGGACTGAGCTACTCTCCTGTTTCCTGCTCAACAACAGCTGTTTCCTGGGCAGAGCACCCTGCAGTGCCAGTGACCAATCATATTTACTCGCCCAATCACAAAGCTCTGTCGCTCCTTCACTGTGAATGTGATGCTGAACCTGTAGCCATAGAAAGCCCCAGTGCTTGATCCAGGTCAACGCTGTGCTCCTGTGAAAAGTGTTTTTTTTTAATCTCATGCTTCAGATGAGAACAAAACACACACAATGCACTACATGGACAAGGCTTTCTAAAACCTGAATACTTCGCAGACAATCAAAAAAGGTCAGCATTTAATGATTTTGACCACTAGAGGGCAGAGACTTCAAAACAGACTCCTTCGCAGAGCCAGTGTGAGAGCAGCACGTTAGCATAGCATCAGTAGCTTCAGAGCTTCTCTGTGTCTGACCTGGCCATGGTCTAAACAGGATGCATTCCAGCACAGTGTTGATTGTAGTTCCTCTGCATTTTGGCAGTGCTCAGCACACAATCACTGTACAAAACACATAGGCTCTGTTTTTCAACGTGCAATGCTAAGCTAAAAAGTTGCTACCTTCAGGATGGCTCCATTTATATGCACTCATCTAACCAGGTTGTATTCGGCTTTTTGTTTTCTTTACAATATAGATTTTTTACATGCTAGATTTCAGACAAAAAGGTGTCAATATGAAAGGAGAAAACATTTGACATAGTTACAATGCATCCTTGTATTTCAATTCAATCTAAAGTATGATGCTAGCTAATGGAAATGAACACCAAGGGTTCTATTTTTTGTTATTGAATGTCGTTCAAACACACTATCGGTAATTTGCTCTGGCTTACTGAAACGTTGTCTTTAATTACAAATTGTTATGTCAACAATTTTCATATAACCAGGGCTGCCAACATTTGAGTTCAGCTTGGAGTGAGATATTGTTTTTTGGTGAACCGAAAAAATAAACGTTCATGTGTACAGTGTTACAAATGTATTGAACACGTACAAACTAGGGTTTCCCATTAATGTACCGGGCGCTACAGTGGAATACGCACATACACAGTGTACCCGCGACTCTTACAATGAAGGCTTGATAATCAGCTAACAGCATATACAATGGCATATAGGTGTAAGCAGAGGTAAAGTGCTATTTTACAAGTGGGGGGAGTCCTCACCTCCTCTAGGGGGGTCCGGGGGCATGCCCCCCCGGGAAGATTTTATTTTTAAATATTGAAGTTAAATGCATCAACCTGGTGCACTTTGAGAGCAAAATGAATTTAAGGATACATCTCTCAACACCCATATGAAACAGAACTGTAAACAGATTTTCTTTTTCTTTATGGATATTTTACAAATCACTCACCTTTTAAACTGTATTCTTGTTTTACTGTCATAGTATTTCATCACTGTTTTTCATTTATTCTCATAAATGGTGACCAAAACGTTTGAGACCCACTTGAGATAACTAGACTAAAGTTAACTATCTAAACAGAGTCACTTACCTCACTGAGCTATAGTTATCTCTCTCAGTCTGACAGGACAGAGCTCTCCCTCTCATTGTTTTAGAAACAGCTTTTAATATCCGTTAAGCTAACCAGATGCTAACAACAACAATGCAAATAGTGAGTTTGGTAGAAATATACTGTATAACAGTAAAGTTATTTAAGATGATGCCATAGTCATTGAAGATTTACATTATAAATATTCCCCAAAATTATTCAAAAGCATATTCTTCCAAACTCCTTGCTGTAGTATGACACACAGGAGACTATTGATGTGTGTAGTGAGTTTGGTAGTAATAAGCTGTATAATAGTGATTGAATATTATTGTATTCTCTTTTTTCGGAGTTGCACTTTGCAGACGGTCCCTGAGCACTCGTTTCTTCTCCGGCTGCGGATAGAGACAAACCCTTACGAAAAAACACTATAGTATTACTATTAAGAATTACTATAGAAATACCACAAAAAAACTGCTATAGTANCGTGAAATCAGAATCTCCCAATATCGTTCCAACTTTACTGAACTAAGCCAGAAGACCGTCTCATTTCGTAGACCGCTCGGTTTGCTGTTCCTTCACTTTATTTTTATATTTATATACATTTATTTTGGACGAAAACTTAGCGTGAGGAAAGGCAAGTGTGGCGTGAGTGCGTGAGATATGGGTTAATTGCGTGACTCTCAAGCTCAATGCGTGAGTGTTGGCAGCCCTGATATAACTATATTAGGTTAGTTGAAAGCAATAATATTAAGTTGAACCTAATATTTTCATTAGGTTTCAACGAACACAATACAGTTAGTGAAATCTATCGACATGATACATTGAATTAAAGTCAACGTTTCAGTTTTTCAGTGTTGGCATAACTAGATATGCCAACACTGCACAATCAGCCCGAAAAGATTGTCACACCTCATATCAGTCACTACTCTATGTGAGTATCAGTTTCAATAGGAATTTTCCTACACACCCAAATTGTTTCTTTGTGTAAGCCAGTTTCTTGAGTGCATCTAAACATACTACATGACACTCTAGGTTGTGGTTCTATGAGCAGAGCAACACTACATGGAAGAAATGTAAATGTACATGATGGTTATAAGATAATTGTAGCATTGCTGCTGCATGAAGAGTCGCTTCAGGAAGGATCCCTTCATGGCATGTATGCACAGGAGGAATTACTACAGCGAAAATATCAAAACCTATCCTTATCTACTTTACTCCACTCTCGTATCATCATGTTTACATAGAACTGTTGTTTGTCAGGAATTAAGGACACACTGATGATTAACTGATAAAAAAAAGCTTAATATTCTTGAGTGGCCAACAGAATACTTCTTTACCAGATTATGCCATAACTGTAATCTCAGTCTGTTAAACACATACCAGAGACTAAAACACTGCACATGATTTCCTGTATTTTATTAAGAGGTATCGTACCAAAGGATCACTCATTTGTCAAACAGTTAAAATAAATATTCAAATATTGCTTGTTAATATGAATACTGTGTGACCCAGGATGGATTTCTTCTCGTTTATGTATGTATCTTTAAGCATTTGAATGTTTTTTAAGGAAGTTAATACACACTTACAAACGAAGCATGGTTTGGATATGTGCCATGTACATAGATTCTCTCTTTTTTAGTCATGACCAGCATGTGAACCAACATTAAGATCCTGCTGATTTATGAAATGCTACAAATGGAACACTCATACCTGCCATGAATGAAGCCTACAATTGTATATGTGTACCCTTTTGTTTATTGCTTTGTTGTTATTTCATGTTTACAGTGCTGTTTTTCTTTTGGATGTTCTCCTATTTTATGTTTGTATGTGTATTGTTTACATTACCAACAATGCCCTCTGGCCTCCAACTGCACCCACAGTGAAGTCAACTCATCCAAAGTCTGTTCGAATGGTCACCTATACGAACAGAAATGCATCTCAAAAGCTTGATTTGTTATTTAACTCAACTGTCTTTCCTTTGAATTATGATGCAACAAGTATGCATTAGCACTTCAGTTGTGGGGAATGTATTGCTAACTGGGTAGTTAGCACCCACTCGTGAGAGGCAGGTAACACTTGAAAAAAGGTTTATTGAACTTATATTAAAGCGTCACAGGAGGTTATTTCCATCCAAATGCATCTCAACCAGTCTACTACAGACTACAGAGCTATTGATCCCTTTAAAATTTCAGTTTACTACATTCACATCAGCATCAGCCTCCTTCGTCAAAAACGCAGATTTAACTTATGTACCGATGTGCATCAGGTAAAACGTTGTAAAACTCAACGTATTATTGTCAAAACTGGTTAAAATAAAAAATTGCATCAGTGAGCAAGCATAAAGATTCTCCCTGAATCCAAATAAATGCATAATGTTGCTTAAATGATAGGGATTAGGTTGAATTATGACTATGAGTTATTATCTAACAGTCTGGATGTTGAGTCTCTGCTGGAGTTTGGTTGGTGGCTGATGGTGTTTTTTCCATCTGCTCCAATGTCACCCAAATGCTAAACAGGACTTTATTTATCCTTGTTTCAATGTCTATTGTAAATGTCATAGGATTTAGTGGATATCCATGTGGAGCAACTCAATCCACCATCACCTGTGCCATATGTAAGCAACCCGAACACATGCTAGAGATTCCTTGTTTTGAAGTGACATGAGTGTGTCCTCCTGAGCACCGATGTGGTGTTGCGATGCGTTCAAGCGTATGGCTGGAGGTCATTCCACATCACCAAGTTGAAAATAAATAAACATTCTCTAGATAAATGGTTGGGCAGAAAAAACTGTTGTCAAATCACATTCAGTGATGTAGAACATATCATCGCACGGCCAAGTTTATTCACCAATCAGTGACTGATTGGACAATGGACTGTTCACATTTCATGTTAAACTATTTTTGTAGTGCCATTTTCCAGTATCCAATTGTAACAGCTGAACCGTGCAATCAGGGAAGTATTGGAACATCTTCAGAGGAAGGTCAAATTCCTTTATTGACTGAAAGGTAATGAGATGTCCTACTTTGCATTTAGGGTTACTGTCATTCTGTTGCCATGGTCACCGCGTCTCCCCTCACTGTACTGTTCCTTCTCAGATGATATGGTGCTTTACCTTGATAGACCTTTGATTTTTCTTTAAATAAAGGAGAAGTACACCTCCACCGTGCTCTCTGTTCATTCAGTTATTATCAGAACACTGAAAAAACGAATACATTTACTTTAATTAAATGTAGTATACATAATCTACATAGCTGTAGGGGAGAGTGGGGCAAGTTGAGTCATTTTTTAGTTATGTTGTCCTCTAAGCAAGGAGAAATGACACATAGTAAAATGAAAGCTCACACTTAAAATTCAGGATGTCTCCTATCAATGGCAATGATAATAATTAATATTTGATCAAGGGCAGTGAAAATATTACTTCTATAAAAAAAGTGGTCTTGTGGCTCAACTTGCCCCGGGTTAGGGGTAAGTTGATCCAGGTCAGGAGGTACATTGAACCACTGTTCAAACCTGGGCATACCTACAACAAATCTTAAAGGTAACTTTAAACAATAAATAACAAACCAAATACAAGTTTAGTTTTTCAAATATTTTTTATATAAATTTCGATTGAATTGATTGATTTTTTTTAACATGTACATACACAGCAAATTTGAAATCTAAAATTCAACACCCATGTAGTTAATTTTAACACTATGAAAGAGTTTATATTGAAACCACCAGCAAAGTGTTGACAATATAACACTATCACAGTGTTACTATACCAACACTAAGAGTGTAAGATGTGAACACCAACACTGAACACCAACACTGATAACAACACTAACAGTGTTGGCTGCATCTTCAATTTAACACTGTTAGCCTCAACACCTCTGGGAGTTCAAAATGAACAGTAATCTAGTGTCAATGTTGTGTATTGGTATTATGATGTACAACAAACTGGTGTTAAAAGTTACAATGACCAATAAATCATTCCAGATAACATATATGCTAAGTGCTTTATTTGAATGGTGGCATGTCTCTTAAGGCTGACAAATTTTCACAATGCACAAATTTTCACAATATGCAATTCAACAAATAAAAAAATAACCCTCTATGGCAGTGGATGTCCGAAAAGGTTGTTTGTTGCCTGCCGTGCCAGGCAACAAACGACCTTTTTGGAGCTGACACACCCATGGGGTGGAGGGATAAATACAAATTACAGCACATAGCTGTCTAAGACAACATAAAAAAGGGTGTCATTGGCACTTGCAGACATTTGCAGATCAAAAGGCTTATGAAATTGCAGTGCATCAGGTTTGATGACTGAAAGACTATCCTGCTTAACATCAAAGGCATGAAGATGCTCAACAAATAAACTTTCCATGTCTAATACCAAAAAATGAATTTCAGCTCTCATCAGAAAAATACAAACAATCTGCCCAAACACTGGTATCTCATCCATCAAGT